TAAGCTGTAAATTTTAGTTAATTTTAACTGTACAAACAACCAGCGTTATTGTGTATTTCATTAAATAATTTTAAATATCGTAAAATATAGCCAATCCAAGTGTCTCTGAAGACCTCTTGGGCTACAATGAGATAGAACAAACAATCAACGGATAATAACTCATCTGAGATAGTTAATTGGTGTATTAAAATCGCTTTTCGACCGTTTTAATTTGCGTCCAATGTTTGATATGTGAAACACCCAATCACTGAAAGTCAAAACAATAATTACCTTGGTTCAGTATTTCACCCAATTAACCTTTTAATTGCATTATTATATCCTTTAAAAGGATTTAACTCAATCGGGTTTTTTTAGCCAAACGATTGTTGTACAGTACTTACAATGTAATGTACGGAGGTAATTTATGTACCCTTGTAATGCATGGATGTTTGAAATGGTATTGTTAAGAATTATTTTTATTATTTTCTGTGGTCAAAGAAACCTTTTGTATTTCACAACCTTTGGTGATATTACATTAATAATACAAGTCCGTATATTATAAATCACCAAGTGCCCATGAACTTTGGAGAAAACTACCCATAAACCATATACTTAAAATGTTCGCATGACGACAAACTTTGCGCAAAACTATCCATTATTTCATAAATTGCCCTTTAAGGTCGTAATCCCTTTCTAAAGGGAACTTTCCATATATATCATGTTGAAAATACCTTAGCTGTACTTATTTGTATGTTATTCTGTCAATTTATTACCTTATTAAAATCAGGTGTGATTATTTGTTTGTATTACTATATTGTATCTAAATGTTGTTGTAAGGGCAAACCAGCTGCCTTACTTTGTTGTAGAAAGGACCATATGATTTTAAAGAAATCAAAATTAAACAATAAAAACTCAAAGCACGTGCATGTAAAATAAAACTAAAACGTGAGAGTTAAAATTTAAAAGATGCAATTATGTATTAAATATTGGGTTCCTAGCAAAAACATAACTCTTATATTAATACGTGAGGGCTGTTTGTTGTGAACACTTCTCCTCCCTTATTTGTGGACCAATTTCAACGTTTAAGGTTTCAAAAGATTCGGTCCAATTCGTAGTTTTGCATTAAGGTTTTTTTTTTAATTTAAATGTTCCTACCCTTAAGGGCGTGAGACCCTTTCAAAGATTGGTTTTTCACCATAAGAATTACATTGAACAAATTTAAAAACAAAAACAGCTATATATAAAAAGAAAGTCACCAGCTTCTTGTGAGTAAATATCAATGTTGTAATATTCAGAAGGTTATAGACTAATCCAAACAGTTATCATCATTTTTGTAATCATTTTTGTTGGAAGAAAAGAAAATGTGAGTTTAATGAAGAAATATTGAAAACAGGAGGAGGTTAAGATGAAATCTTATACGTATGAGAAGAGTAGAAGAGAGGCCTGGTCTAACAGTAAGGAATCCAGATACACAATCACTAGGGGAGATGAATAATTTTTACCAGTTCTGCTATGCAACTTATTTTGCAATTAAAAAAATCATGAAGAATATACAAATCAAGTTGTCACAGTGATAAAGAAAACCTACCTAATGTCAGATCAAATTAATACGTGCAAGAAATCTTTACTGGTAACAGCTATAAGGTCGGGAAACATTTATATAAAACACTAAAAATAAGACCGGCTTCTGAAAAATGATAAAATACATTTACAATAAGTGTTTATTATTTCAACCCGTTATTAATAGAGTGAGTATTTCAATTAGTTACAAACGCTTTGAGTCTTTTAAACTTATCGAAATAGAAAATGATGACTGTTATTACTGCAGTTTTAAATAATGCCTGTATGATAACGGTACTTGACAATTAGTTACTCGATTTTAAGCACTCATAGAAGATGACTGTTAATTTTTTAATAGCTCCTGTATAATACCCCTTACTTGACAATTGCTCAATTTCGAGCAACAGGCACAATATTCATAGTTAATTATTTGAAAATTAAATGACTCAGCTGTTTGTTTTTCGATCTTTAAAGACCAGGTGTAATTTGATTTGTAATTAATAATTCCCACATTTTGTTATTCTTATATTTGTGTTGTAACTTGGTTTTAATTTAATTTGACGTCAAAGACTAATTTAATTTAGATGACCACCAATTTGAAACGGCTCTAGTCAGCAAAATTAAATTTTGCATGCTTGTATACCACAGCTAAATCCATAAATGTGCCAAATTTAAAGTTTGAACCTAAATCCAAACTAGAGTTAAGCTCTATTGTGGAAAACACATACAGTCGGACAACGAGGCTCCAGTGACCATCCTATTTACATGTTTAGAATGTAAAATATTATTGTATTGAGCCAAGGATCAATGCTGCAAAGTTTTTCAAAAGAGTTCGCAAACACCCTTTTTTAAATATACATCTCAAATCAATGAAGATGATCGTTTGTGTACAATCGTTAAAACTAGACAAATGAGTGTCGCATGTTGTGAGGTATATCTTATCCCTATGTAAGGTTTGTGAAATATAATGATTGAATAGTTAGAGGCAATGATAGCACCCCAATTTATAAATAGTACAAACTCAATAATATTCACCCTATAGATATAAATAGCACATCAAAACACAGCTTATCTTTTGCCATTTAAACCTAACAAAGTCAACTTCCATTTTCTTAAACAAAATCCTGCAAGTGACGTCCTTGTCCTACTTGACATTCCTTTTTAGTCACTTGAAAACTCCATCAAATACTCCTCCAACATTTCTTCAGGAATCACTTTTGTTTTTGGACAGTTCTTAGCTTCGGTTCAAGCAAATCTGTGGCGGCTTTGAAAAACCTCTAAGCACAGCTGTTCATTCATGGTTGTTTTACTTATAGAGTGACAACGAAAGAAAATCGGGGTGCTTTCATTGCCTCACCCTGTACCTATAAGTAGATTAAAACTGTTTAATAAGACTTATTTCAGCTAGTTTAAACTTTAGTGATCACATGGAATGAATTAAAAACTACGTAGTTTTTAATTTATTTTTAAAACTAACTATCTCATAGGAAGAAGTCGACAACATGATCTACAATTGAGAATGTCAATAAATGGCTGCAATACTGCATACACAATACACTAATTAATCCCTATTTGCATTACTTGACAGTAGAACATTGAAATACAATTATTGTCTCGACAGCGGTGATATCACATTCACGTACAGGTGAGGGAGAGGCGAGCCACAAATTCCCACCGGATGTCATCACCGTCAGGGAGCTGGGGGGGGGGGGGGAGGGTAATTAGACTGGGTAATGTCGGTTGTCTCTTATACAATGTCTCATCCCTCTCATACCCCCTCCCCCACCACCGACGTGTCATAGATGCAACCAAGCTAAAGCAATCAGCTTTGTCTGGATTTCACTTCTGTGTTGATTATTTATGGCAAGTCAAATTATTTGAGTGAAAAAAAGGAATGTTGCCATACAATGTGCTACGAAATATCCAGTTTTTAGTAAATCAATAATTGTGGAGAAAATACAATTTTTAAACAAGTTGCAATTTATATATTTTTTTTATTAGGTAAAGTCAAATAATTTTTTATATATTTTAAGTACAAAAGTAGTAAACAGAAACTGTTGGTAAACAGTGATAGAGAGTATTACTTTCTGTACAAGTTAGTGTCTTAATGGTTTTTTAAAAGTATATTTAAATAGTCTTTTCTCCGATAAAAAATCCTTTAAAAACATGATGTAATAATTTTGCTTTCAATAGCAATATTGTTTTCGCAGCAAATAGCCAAAGATGTAAACCATAAAAAACCATAAATTGATGGCTCGGCTTTGCCTCGCACGTGAAATTTTGTTGAATTTTTTTACATGAGCGTGCATTAGAAAATTCCAATTTCGGTCCTAGTAATGAAATTTAATAATCTATATAGATTTATGTTGAAATTCTCCTTTCCACTGTGAAACGTAAAGCATTATAAGACCTCAAAAATATCTCTGAGTTATATATCCAGTCTTCTACTCTTAAGGACAACCCATTTATATTGCTATTAGTAATTAAATTGAACATTGACATTGCAAGTTGTCAATAAATTTAGAAAATATATCTGTAGGCCTACATCAACAAAATAAATAAATTTTACGGATTTATATTTTTGTGATTAGCTATTTGCAATTTGTTGATTTGTATTTAAAACGTATTAATTCGTGTGTAGACTACTTGGGTATTCTCTTTTTAGATATCTTTCAATATCTTTTTTTTTGTATTTAAACTAAAATCGCTTGACATAACAGTCATACCTCTGTCTTGTAATGTATATAAAGATCATGACAAAACAGTCCTTTAGTTCAAGCAAAACCAGAGTTGGCAAGGGGACTGCTCTCTTGGTCATATCGATTCTAAATTGGCTCCAACTCCTTCCAAGTCTTTATTTATTGTTCCTTGAAAGTTCTGAGAGAGGTTTTAGCAAAGGGTAAACATATATTTAGTCTATTGGAGATTCTATTTCGATATTTTAGATGGAGTGGGGGTTCCATACAAAATGTAACAAATTTCAAATAACATTTAAAACCTTAAAAATAGTTCTTCTAACTAAAAAAACTAAAAAAAACTAAAACTAACCAAAATATATGTGATATATTAGACAATGGGTTATAAAAGACAATAAAAGTAGAATTATAAAAACAGTTCACTATAGCCTATCGATAAAAAACTCTTATCTAAATCCACATCACAATTAAACTTTTAAAGATTTCTTAAATTGCAATCTTTAACTCGTCGAGTACGGTGGTTTAAAATCCATAACCTTAAAAGTCATAATCAATTGAAATTCGTGTGGTAATGTTATTATTTTGTATTAATAAATTAATTTATAATTCTTTTCAGGTGTTTAGAAGAAATATAAGTTCTTGGTAAATGAAACTAAACCTTATTATTTCCTTAGTTCTTATTGATTTGCGTTAATGCTAAGAGATGCTTAGTACTGTAGATATGATAGATATAAATCATTTTCTGAGCAATGTTGTTTTATGAAGGAAATATGGAGTCTATCACAAGAAGATGAACTTCACCCCATCAGCGCCCTCGGTGGCGCTATCTACATCCCCTGCGTCCTCGGCATCGACGCCTCCCCCCACCCTCAACAGCTCCATGGTGAACGCCAGTGGATACCTCATAGACGACTTCCACGAAGAACCAGGTGTGCCAACTTAAATAGATTAAAATTACAAAGGGAAATTTACAAAAACATATTTAAGTTTTGATTTTAGTTACTCTATGTTTAAATTATGATTAGTCACTAGGATTGATTCATGTGTCATTTCATCTTATCTTAATTTAATCTTAATCTAATCTCAAACCTCGGTTTGAGCGATTGGCAAGTTATTATGTTGGCAAAGCGCGCTAATCACTAACAGTTATTGGAAATGTGATTAAATGAGTGTTGCTTGTACTTAATTATCCTTTAGATCTTTGTAAATGTTTCTTTTTATGTAATTTGTGACGTTATTGAATCAATGCGTGTTGTAAAATGGAGAAAAGTTTATGTTGAAATAGGAAGCTATTATTTTTTATCGCTTGGAATGATCAGGTAAATTTGCAGTTTATTTTAAAGAATGGATATGTTTTATTAATAATTTTTTCCTACAGTTACCTAACAATGTACATGTTCTCTCACTGATTTGAGAAAGCAAAGTGGCCAATTCGCTCATCAGTGAGACAATGTTAACATTGTCTCACTCTAATTACTTTGTCTCACTTCAGATTTGCAACGTGAAGGCACGAAATAGTGAGCGCGTAACATGCAGGCAACGTCGTATGCGCGCGAAATACGTTGGCAGCATTGGCTGTAAATCAGCTGGTCAGCTGTTGTACTGTTGTATTTGTCACTTCACATTAAATGTTATATTAAAAGTTCACTTCTGTGTAAAAATAGGTTATGTTTCTTCACTAATTTATTTGTTTTATGGTAACTGTAGGAAAAGTATAATGTGCAACTCGAGTTCAAAGTACAATTGCCTCACTCGAGAAACCATTCCTCACTCGCCTACGGCTCGTGAGTAAGGATTTCTCTCGAGTTGCTCACTTTTCTCACTAGTTGCACAAATAACTATTTTTTATCTCTTCAGAGTTTTGCGCAAGAAAAGAGTAATGTTTACTTGACGTGAAATATATTGTGCTATCGCATTTCCAATTCAAACAGTTGCGTCGACTGACAAGGAAATATCATATCGTATGACATAATGTTCTTTCTGTCAGATGATTCCATCAATAAGGTATCTCATGACTCGTTTCGAAGTTTTGTTTCAAATAGCTATACTCAATACTATTTAATACTATTTACTATCGTTAATTTACTATAGTTAATACTATTTTCGATTAAATGTAAATGTTCTTTATTGTTTCAGGGTTCACGGAGCTACAAACAGTGGTGATAGCATGTGTCGGTACTCTCATCCCCTTGGCTCTTGCGCTCTTCGCTGTTATAGGCCTCAGGTATGGCGAACAGTTCTTAAGCAAACAGTATCATATTATGATTTGAGATTGGTAGAATTCCAAACTGTTTGTAGAGCACGCGATTCGACCTTAGGCCATAGACAGCTCCTCGACTTACATTAGGTGTACTTGCATCTTAGTCTACATGGTCCAAGTAAACTTCAGCCAACATTATCAGAATGTATTACAAAATAACTCTAGTATGCCTGCATTTAAGTTAAAATAGTTTTTACCGCGTATATAGAGGAATCAATTTATTATTTACTGTGTTTAAGGGCCCAATAGTTTAATTTATAACAGATAGTCATATTCAAATCACACGATTAAATGTATTTTAAAATCTTGTCAAATTTAATTTTAAAAACAACAGTTGGTTGTTTTATAATCCTTATAAGCTTCTCAATTACAATAATTGCTTGAATCCCAAAAGGCTGTATCAATTATAATCAATGAGTAAATACCACGATATAAATTGATTAAAAGTGTTGAAATAGTTATTTCTTTTCATTTTAAAGAAACTTTATTTTGACTTGTTCTTCGTTTTTTGGACGGTTTTATATATAATCTGAAATATGTGCAGTGATTTTAATATAAGCATTTTTTTTTATCAGTAGAAAAGGTATTCAATATAATAGTAATAGCATTCAGTTATTATAAATCATCTTTTTTTGTATGACAATTATATTTTAAAACGGCGCAGCCTAATATAGCGGAGTATGACCTTAAATTTTGGCATGGATTCAGATTGACTATTACCGAATATAGCTTTAATGTCTTTGTAGTTCATCAACATCTCCATAATTAAGTGACTCAGCATTATTAAGTACCAAGACACGCTTAAACCACTTACCTATTTTAATCATTCTTCATTTGCGTAACACATATTTGAAAACAGTTAGCACGCAAGCTACACATATTAAACGTTTAAATTCTATTATAAAAGCTATCTAATTACAAATAAGCTACCGATGACTCTTTAGTGATAAAAATTGGCATTTCTTATTATTTTAGGGAATCAGACATTTATCTATAATTTCTTGCTGTGACCTAATTTTATACAAAGTGAACATGTTTCGATAAATTTCTTAGTGAATATTGTACGGTAAAATTATATTTAATTTCATATTTGCTACACAATACCATTCATAGTATTTTGACGTATTTTTTATTATGGTATAGCCCAGGATTGTTTTTTACATTAATTCACACTAGGCATATAGGTTGGGGCATTATCACTTGTATAAAATCCATTGGTGATTGGCGGAATATGGACGCAGAACCTTGGTGACCGAAGTCCCGTGATCTACCAATCTACAGCTCGCTCCCCACCGATGATAGTAAATACTGTACCAATGTACTTGGGCAAAAACAATACAACACTGCGGCATACCGTGATGTACCAAAAATCCAGTTTTGAATGATTATTAATTTGATGCATTAAATGTAAAATATTTTTTGAAATTAGCCATCGGTAGATAAATACAAGAAACTTTTCTATTAACTATAACAATATTGGCAAAATCGTTGTCAGAGGTATGGGATGTCGGCTTGAAGGGAGCGTTTACATAGTAACACATTATATTGATAGCTGTATTAGGCTTAATCTCTGACTATAGGGTTAATAGTTAGTGTCAATCTGTAGACTGTATGTACAATCTCTAAAGCATACAATAACAAACTTATAAGAATGAGGAAGATCCCTTCTTTAAAGTTTATATCACCTGTCCCTCAGTAAATATAATTTTGTTTATTAGTATTAGATGTTTAGTCCCTAAGGTGAGATACACAAGGTCACGATATAATGTGTATTCCAAATGTACTGGCTCATACTTTAATTGTTAGTTTATGTCTGCTCTGCTCATATTGTTATTTTGTATATGATGATTCAGTTATATAATATAAAAGTGATAAAATAAAATTACATTGAGTTATTACATTTATATTTTACATTATTAAAATATCTAAAACAAACATTTAGAAGTTTTAAATTCCACATAGTCTTTAGTATTTGGTAAAAACACAACTTTAAACAAACTAAGCCGACAAGGAAAAAAGAATACATTAAGGTTAACTTTACCCAGAATGAAAGACTCTTTATTTGTTATTGTGAAAAGTGGTATCAAAGAACTTGTATTGACAGCTTTATTTTCTTTGTTACTCTACAGAATGATTTGGAAGAGTTGGATAAGAGACGAAGATGAGCGAACGTTGAGAAGGACCGAGAGCTCGGAACCCAAGAGTAGCCACATGCTGTTGCCTGATGAGGTAATCAACTACAAGTGAAAAGAATTACACTTTAGTTTGTACACCATTTAACATGCACATAAGAATCATTAGCAATAAAATATCCTGTTGGGAATACATTAAAGTAGTTGCAAGTTAGTAAATCAAAATAGTGTAGATACTTAAAATGCGTACGTATAAAACATTGTTTACTTGCATACATTAATTCAACTATTTCAACAAATCTCATTTAAAACTATATTTTTCGAACTGTTGTGCTAGTATAAGTTGAATATAACAGTTCATGATTCTTTGTGTAAACTATAAACAAGTGCCTTGAATAAAAATAACATAATTTAAACAATGCGCATGAGTTTGTAAATCAAATAAATGCAGAAAGAGATGTTTTAGATTTAATTAAATTGGTCTGCAAGTAATTATATTTTTTTAACATACTGTGGTTAAATGAGACTAAATTTCTGCCACTTCATCCCGCGCATTGTATTATTATTGACTTTAATTATTTTAACAGATATCACTTGGTTATTACAACATTTATTTCGTCAATTGGTTACAAACAAAGGCATAGCTATTTGAGTTCCCTTTTAATTCCATAACAAAATTTATTTTGATGGGTAGCTAGAATGGATGAAACGTTGTAACAATTGTTACATGCTTTTTGCGGATACAAATTTCGTATTGTTGATGGACACATTTGCTTTTTTTATGAAAAATCAGACCCTCACAGCAACATCACCCTTATTGGCTTCTTGTAGTACATAACCGATAGTATACTTCAAATTGGATAACAAACGCTAAATTGCAATCATTAGTTTGAATGATAAAAAATGTAGTTCTATGGCATTGCTGGGAAATTTTTTTTTACAAAACAAAGAATATATATTATAAAATAACTCTAGCTTGTTCTGTTTTTTTACTATATCTGTGAAAGAACAACAATGTCAAGCGCAATGCTGTTCAGAAACAAAAATTAAATTAATAACCTCATGTTAAACTAATATTAAAATGCACATAACGGACTTTTTAATAATAGTGACATTAAAAAAGAAAAATGCTTCAAATAAATTTTACCGATTACAAATAATTTGAGGATATGTATAAAAATGAAATCTAAATTCTGACAAAAGAGGCAAATAGTAGTAGTGACTGTGTTGGGCGGCAAGAGAGTGTGGCGCCAATGCATTGTGGTTACCTTCGGGAATTTTTCACGCAGACGTCCCTATATATATATATATTTGAATTTATAGACTGTGTTTACATTTTATGTTTCTTTTTCTCATCAAATATAATAAGAGACTGGATAGTAAACCTATCTGAGAACACAGAGAAAATTACGCCACTTGATATTTTCTTGATAAGATAAAACTGCAAAGCCTACTGTTGTATGAAACTAGAATAAATCCTTATTTAGTAGTAGGTGAAAAAGTAACAACACCATGTGAAAGCTAAGCTGGTCAGACATGTCGTGACAACCATCACGTGACAGAATAAATAAGGGAACTTGTTGATTCTGTTATCTTTTCACTAGGGCAATGCTTTACAATGACGTAAAAATATATCCTATTTATAGCCAAAAATAAAACTATTACTTCAACTACAATAGTATTATGGAAACAATACGTAGATTAGCCTTCTGCACTTCATACTACCTTTCCCTTTCATTGTAATGTATACTTAATTCAAGTTATTTTTTTACAAACATATCGTCTCTTTCAGCGAATTTTCCTATAGGAAAGCATTCATTACCATTGGTGGCACAGTAAGAATTGGACCCGGGGCCGATTTACTTTTTCATTTTGATTTCCTCAGAGGCCAAAAACATATAAAATTAATAAGTTCGCAAACCAGCAAGATCGGGCCATGGAAACGGGGTGTAAAGGGGTTTAAAAATTACAGGGATATTCCCAAATGTTATTACGGTCATCGTGAAGAGCTGAAAAAAAAAAAGATTTTTTACAAAGTGTTCTTCTACAATAAAAACGGAGAATTAAAAAAAATCTTTAAGTTGAAAATTCCTTTGTTATTTTTAATAGAGAAAAGGAAAACTGTTTATGTTAGCTCTTTTATGGATATGTATGTTAATCAAATTTTGCAAGTGTATTCATTTGATCATATAGTATAATCGTTTGGCAAAAAGAACACACTTTTTACCTTCTCCGTAGCAGCAAATCTAATTACTCGTTAAATCTAAAGTTAGGGAATAAATCTTATATGTTTTCAGGATATATTTTAGTATAACTCCAATCAGGCAAATGGAAATTCGCTTAGTCTGCAGGATTGCTTGCACTTGCAATACAAGAGTGGTTCTTAGAAACTCTGATAATCGATCAAATATCTCTAAGGCCCAGTCAGTGCGGGGAAGCTAAGAGCATATCCGTGTCCTTTTAGGTAATGCCCAACAGGTTCTTAGCCTTGGAGTCTTATACTTCTTTTAAAATCAGCTGCTTTCACAAAAGAATTAAGACATTGTTGAACAAGTTGTTTTTATTTCCAATCACAAAATAAAGGGTTCGCCTACCTTCTTTCTACTTAATCATAAATACCCAATCTTGGTTACAATACAAGGACAGTCTTAAATATTTCGAGCTATAACTACAACAAGTCCACCCTCCTATTCGTCAATCGCAATTAATTGTAAGACATTTATTTATGATGTATATTCTCCTGTTATAAATTAAATATTTAATCTAATCAAATCTGTAACATTTAATTAATTGAGAACTTTTTTATAACCGCTCCTATTCGGGTGATAAAACGTGTTAAAATCGTCAAAGTAACGTCGAACTAGTTTGCTAAAAAAAATTTATTTTAATTTGAAATAATAGCATGAATAAGACCTAAATTGCTTGAGTGCAACTTTATATAGGATGGCATATAGGGGTAAATATTGTATATAAGATATTTAAAAAGTGTGTATTTTTGGAATAACTATTTTGAATGTGATACTTACAGATAAAAACAAGCGAATCTCAGTTTTCTGTAATTCCCGCCGAGGAGTTGGAAGAGGTTATGACATCATACGCTAGCGCTCCTAGTGTCAACTCCAACAATCACAACCACACTAGCAAGTCTACAGCCAACGGCAGCATCATCACTATGACAATGAAGAACAACCACCTTATAGTGGAGACAGAGGAACGGATACTGGTAAACCCACAGAAATGTTGATTATACTGTATCATAATTTAGTTTTGATAAAAACTAGTCTAGTGTTAACACGCAGGCTTCGGTAATCCCTTAGATACCTGGATCAAATCTTACCAATTGCTAGAAGCTTTTGGCACAGAGTAGCATAGTCAAGGTATTCCCTTTGTCTGTGCAAAAAGCTAAAGGCTATGTGATGATTCCGCAACCCTCTGGGCCAAGATTAGTGTTAAGGCCCAATCAGTATATATATATATATATATATATATATATATATATATATATATATATATATATATATATATATATATATATATATATATATATATATATATAATCAACCCCAATGCACTTTTTTATTATACTGTACAAAGAAGAAATAGAATCATATGTTGTTATCAAACAACTACTACAAGAATTACAATGTAAATAAAATAACTGAAATGAAGTGAGTGAATTGTTAAAGTTATTAAAAAAGTAAGTTAAAGTTATAAAAAACAACTACAGTTATGTGTAAACCGGTTTCGGGCTAGCACTAAAGTGTGGCCAAATATTTTAAACGTATGCTCTTTTAGGAAAGGATTTAAGAGGGGTTTTGAATTTTGATTTTTAGACGGGTTAGATTTAGAGACAATACATTTATTTATGTTTAGTTAAGGAGTCTCGGCTGATTGTGATTGATTATGATGTAGGGAACCTCGTTTTAACTTTCCAACATTTTCTAACCTCGTACACCGTCCTTAAGAAGAAGATAACACTACATTTAACTCCTTACGTACGTCCTTAAGACCTGTCCTTAAGACGTACACTATATTTAACTCTGTTAGAAAGTACTTTTAGTTATACGAGAACAGAAGGACAATGCAACAAATTCTTAAGGAAACATCTTTAACCTTATTTGTACTTTCCGATGTTGTCTTATAGATATACGACACAAATCTTGTTGAGATCTTGTCAACGATTGTTAAGTAGGATGTAAGGATGTTGAGCGTGAAGGGGGGAGGGGGGTTGGATATTCTGCGACGATGCTCTTATCTCTATCGTCTCCTTAGGTTCTTGAATACGAGAGTTTTTAAAGAAGATACATCGTCTATCGCTTGTTATCGGGCTTTAGAAACCTCTTTAGTGTCATGAATGCTTTTATCCTCCCTATATTTTATTGACAAAACAAAAACTTAACATATGTGTGCAGGAATTTAGTTATTTCGAACACAATAGTTTATACTTCGAGGTACAGTACATGAAAATTTATAGTAAAATGAGTTATGTTATCCCAAAACTAAATTGACAATAAAACCTTTGTATGGGAAACTCCATTGGCTGGATTTTTCTTCTTACAGTTTGCGCAACAGATTACATTCTGCGTTTTAGTTATGAACATAAGGGTTTTGTTCATAAAAACATACATAAAGGTTTTGGTGATTACTATAGGAGCACACCGGTCAGTTGCTTCTGTGACAGGAACAATAATACCGGTCTTAACCGTTTTGCCTGAATATAAATCATGTTATGCTCAAAAACTTTCATCAACAAAATGTCACACAACTAACTCAATATATGATCTAAATGACAAATTTTGACTCTTAAAGGTTGATATTTGTCCTAAAAAACAATACACAGTATATACAATGTTTTTTTTTCAAACTTACGTGAGATTTTTTCAACCGGTTTATAGAATCCTATGGTACCTACAATTCATATTTTGTACCCAAAACGCCCTTTAGATTGAGTATAGTTTGAGTTTTACCGAAATAACACTGGAAACACTACTAACAATTTTAGAACAACGTAAACGGTGTTCCAATACATTAGCAAATGAACCATTAACAGTAAAGGTGCAAACTAAACTAAGAATATCCAAGATTAATGTTTTAGAAGTGTAAAATACGTTGAGAGGGCTGAGACCAATGTATCTAGAAGCTCTAACGAAGGTCGTGCTGCTTAAATTGGAGCAATGCTTAAGCTGAGTCCCACTTACAGTTAACAAGGTTGATGGAAAGAGGTAACTGGAGGAACTTTCCTACTTATCTGCACAATTAACGTTGGTTTTTATTGAAAGTTCTCTAAGTTTTCAGTTAAAGTTTACAAAGTAATATCAGCAATTTCAGAAAATTTATTATTGTCAAGAATAAATAACTTTAAAATCATTAAGAAAAACGAAATATGCAATGCAGAGTTTTTTTATTCGTGAAATTAGACTTCAGTTACCGGTACTTCAGTTGGTTGTTTTAGTTAGTTTGGATTTAAATTAAAAAACATGAATTCCTTCTTACTTTATCACGTTTGACAGTTTGATTTAGGATTAGAACATTCTAATTAGGAATAGAAAACCATAAATAAAATTTCATTCAGGTTTTGCAACGATGTCTTTGGTAAGAACGTAATGCGATATTTTTTTTGCTGGAGCAATTTACAAAACTTAACATTTAAAAATAGTGCTTGCATGCAAATAACCTTAAAAAAATATGACATAACACGAGACGTTTCACGTAGGCTAGTATAATCCTTTATCTTAAATCTTATAATAATCTGAAACTATTATAATCTTTTAATTTTTTACACCGTTCGAGATTCTTACAATTTAATAAAATATTTCGTGATTCCTACAAACACAAGAACAGAATAGCTACTATTTATCAAAAACAAATTAGCTACAACAACAAATTTTGCAACAAATTAGGCAGAATAGAGCCTATTAGAAACTCTATTTGAATTGGTGATGTATTCTCTCACTGGGACTAATGATGTTCAAAATTTTTGCCGAAATAGAATACACTTAATTACGTTTCAAAACATGTACTTAATTGAAAAGTAAAACTTCTCTTTGCATGTGATATACCAAATGCAGTGGTATCATAGCCACTTTTAAACAAAGATGAATTATACAATTTATGCTCAATTTAAAATTTGCGGTTTGTTTACGATTTTCACTTAGATTATACAGAGATAGAGAGAGTGGAGTATAATTCACTTCATATCTAGAGTGAACAACGAAAAGCCTCAAGGAAAATGTCAAGTTGAATATGATACATTCTCTGTGACAAGAATGTATTACATGTCTTATTTTTGTATGTTTCACTTCATCATTTCAGATTTAAGTATGCCTGCCATCGTCTCAAGACACGAGGTGTACAACTTGCAAAAACAATATACCCTACTAATTTGAGAATTAACCAGCACCAATACTGACAAGCAATAGATAGGATATAGTCAAACTTGAACATATTGATCAAAATATCAATACTACATTTAAAGTTCAGGGACTAATGAACACACAACATATTTCCTCTAACTCAACACATTTAATACCCTGCCTCCTATCCCACTGTTCAAGGGCGTCAGTGAGACCCCCTACTTGTCCACACCCTCGGAGGTGCCGACCCTCCCTGTGGACGATGACGAGGGTGACAGCACGGCGCTCATCCACCAGACGGAAGACGACACTCCAGTAAACACCGGGCTCTCTCAGAGCGACCTGAGCGTGTCGTCAGGAGCGTCAGGTCATGCTGGATACTGCTACGGCAACCAGGCAGAGTACCTGGGGGACGAGAGAACTATCATGCATAAGGTAGACTCATTTATTTATATACTTTTGCACAGTGACTGAAAAGTCTTAGCAGACTAAAACCCTGTCACTAGAATATGCCAGAACAGCTCTGGGGTGCTTAGTCATTCCAGTCTTTTCCTGTTTTTCCCTGCTGGGAACAGTTCCTTTAAAGAGAGCATGACAAGGATTGCCCCCAAGACATAGTTTTGTAGAAATGCTAATTTTCATACTTAAACACTTTGAACGAGTAGCTCGATTTTTAAATGCAACAAAGCTAAACTCAATGTGGAACATATTCAGGTAGCTGATCTGTGGGTGCACACACTCGGTGCCTCAGCGAGAGACTTAGGGATAAAGAAGAAATCTATCTTTGCTGGACTCTGTCCAACCCCAAGGTTCTCTTCCTCTTTTTTTAGAGGTTAAAAGAAAGTATTTTCACCTTATTTCGGCCCATATTGGTATAATGGCCTCTATTAGTTAGAAATTATATCATAGAAACTACTTACTTACTTACTTAATCCTCTCCTCTTCTACCGGTTAGTGTCGAGGTTACTAGGTGCCTCCATGACTTTCTGTCTTTAGTGAGTGGTAGAGCTTCACGAATTGAGCTGCCCCTCTCACGCAGTCTTGCACTTACCCTCGACTTTGACCTCTTTTATTATCTTTGGAAGCCGAGTTACTAACAATGTGGGCATAGAAACTAACAAAACATAAGATTAGATTTACCACATTCTAATAAATTAAAGATGGTGATTCGATGACTTCTAAATACTTACTTTTTACCTAAAAGTGTTATTTCCTTCAGGTCCGAGCGTCTAGCAATCGCCTCAAGCACATCCCCTTCGTTGTACAGCCGTCACAAGACATAGAGGACGACGACCTCTACCTGGAGCAACAACATCAGCTGGGCAATGGTCTGGACAACCAGGCAGTGCCCGAGGTGCAAGACGATGGCTACGTCACTCTGGACTCCAGCAGAACCCTGGTGGACATGAAGTGATAAACTCGTCAATTAGTGGAACTTACATCGCCTTTGTGTGTTTCATAACTTACTTTTGGTTAACCTTTGACAATCGAGGTGTTAGTAGACATTCCAATGGGACATTCCAAATTCTTATATCGAAGGTATATACTGAATAATCTTCAATCGTAGGCTTAAACGGTTGGTTTCATCACTGAATCCTCGGTCTTTCTATGACAACCGTGTTAAGTCAGTATTTACACTATGCACACCGGTTCATAGTGTAAATACCGAATTGACACAACTCTCACCGAAAGACCGAGAAAGTACATTCTGAATATTTGGGTTCATATTGTCAACCTAATAAACACGTTTAGCTGGCAAAAGCAATAAAATAAGTATTGTAAATAAAAAAAAAATGTTTTGTTTGTTTTGTTATGATATTGCGAAATTCTGATTCAATATTCAGCAAACTACGTTCCTAAAAGTGGTTTTGCTGCAACCGACCACGGTTACACCGTCAGTTGCACTATTATAACAATAAACATCAAAAGAAAACCTATAAAATGTTGTCCAAATTCATCTGCAAATTAAATTTTCCTCAGTAATATTTTTATTTATAATTCTAGTTTCCCACATTATGCATCATGAGTTTTTCTACATTTGTCCCAAAACATAAACAAATTAAATTTGTGTGAAATTCTACCCAAAAAATATATATAATAAAAGACTACTTATTTTTTTATTGTCTGATGAGTTAAGCTACTAGCAGAGTTAAGAAATCTCAAATTGCGTATCATAGGTTAAATAATAACCTTTGCAGTTTGTACCCAAATAAAGCAAAACCTGAAACTTAATCCATGGCCTCGCGTGGACATAAACGTTTATAGAATATAAACAGCGTGGAAAAATATTCCTTCTCATGCACCGTGTAAGTGGATAAACTCACTTATATATTAATAAAAGCAAAACTAGCTCAAGATTAAACCACTAAGACTCAAGATAAAACCACTAAGACTCAAGATAAAACCACTAAGACTCAAGAAAAAAATGGAATGTCTACTTGAGCCCTAAAAGTCTATGGTGGAAACAGATACCATAAAAGTGATTTTATTAACAATTTTTAAAGATATGATTGATTGTAGTGTGTTGACACAATTGTTTTAATTAAGCCGTAAATCAAAACATATATTTACTGACTTTAAAAACATCAATATGTAAAACATTATAATTATAAAAAAGTATGTTTTCAAAAGTAAGTCCGAAATTATTAAGATACTAACAGCAAAAGTGTTGTTGGTGTTCTTATTACACTAGATTAAACACTTTAAAATTTATTTAAAATCTGAATAACAATAGTATTTAGTTTAAACTGGTACTCACACAGCTTACAAGGAGAAGAAAAATGCCAACAATTTAAAAGAAGAATATTATACACGACACTACAGTAATTACCTAATGTTTTAAATGGAAAGCCAACGAGGTTTTAAACCATGTGCCTATGACACACCTTAAAACATGGTAACCATTTAAATAATTGTTACTTTTCTATTAAGACTAGGTAAAAACGAGATTGCCGGTTTTAAAAGTAGTATCAGAATCGTATGGGAAAACAGTTTCAGGGTAAATTTAAATTTTTTTATGGATAACTTATGTTAATGTGAATGATCTCAGTCGTATACAGAATTAAACTATAGCTGTTCAGTGTCACCATAGAATTATAATATCAAATTATTGCTTAAAAGTTTTTAATTGAATGAGTTATTCAACTTTACGACTTATGTAAAAACTGAATATTTCATTACACGATGCTTTAAATGAAAAAAATGTTTGACATTAATATTTTAAGCTACTGTACAACTGTCCAATATCGACCAAGGAACATTCTTCTTTCGTGAAATTATTTTGCAAATTGTTTGAATTTATTTACAATTTTTAATTACAAACTGAAAGCCTTTCGCAAGTTTATTCCTTAATGATGCTTGTGGAACACTATTTAGTGTAGGCCTACTTACATCAAGAGTTTAGTTCAGTGGTGAAAAGACAATCTTTAGTACACGAGTGGCTGGTTGAATTGTGAGATAAAAGGAGATGATTGTGAAAATAAGGAACTGAACTTTAGTGGAGAGAGATACACTGTAGGTAGTTAATGAATAAAAACGGGTAATTTTGATATAAGGCAATGAAAATATTACCCTTCTCGTCTTCTCAAGTGAATGTATAATTTTTAGTATGGGTGAAATGAGTTGTGAATCGTACTTTTAACTTAAATGCAGTATTAGTTTATGTATGCGGTGAAGTGAGAAGTGGTTTTGCTATAGAAGCTTAAGGTTATAATGGTTGTTAATAATGTTTAATTTGGTACTGTAAATATTGGTGTCCCTTGTAAAATCATTTTGTATTAACTTGTTGTAGGCAATCTAGTATTTGATTACTGTAAATATTATTTGTTTCCCTACTATAAAACCCTTCAGTATTTTATTTTCATACAAAATTCCAGTGGAGTTCGATATGTATTATTTTATAATAATAAAAAGCACAGTTCTTAACGATTAGTTATGGTGGAACTTTAACAGTATTACACTAAATTTCCCTTCTGTGCACGAATTCCTCGCTTTAATATAAGGTGACTTGTGATTCCTTCGAGTGCTCGCGATTAAGACTAAGATAGGATGTAGTAAAGCAAAAGCTGATTTAAGCTTCCAGACCGTCCGTTTTGAGAATCGAGGTTTTTACCTTTTACTTAGATTTGAAACTGTCTATACTACTATCATTTCATGTATTTGACAATTAAATGTAAATGTTTACTAGATCTGATCACACACTAATCTTTATGTTGGTGTACCATTAAAATGTAAACCCAGACAAAATAGGGTTGTTTATTAAATATAATACCTAAAAGTCTAACAAAATTACATATATAATTTTTATGGATTAAGTTTGTAGCAAAATAGATGCAATAAATCTGACCTCTGCAAATATATACAACAAATTCAATACATCTAAATTGCACATTTATTATAAATATTCTCTTCACTGAGGAATTGCTTTCCATAAGGAATTTTTATGGTAGTGGTTTCTGAAATGAAATTATATAATTATTCTTCTTTGTTGAGGCGAACTTAGACCTCATGTTCCTTTCTTTCGATGCATTAAAAAGACAATTATCTTTGTACATCGTAAAGGTTGAACATGTTTCCGATCAGAAGTCAAACGAAACAAAACTATTAGTGAACATTTCGTAGATTTTCCCCGACGAATTGAAAAACAAAAGTAAAAGCTTTTAATAAAAGCTGTATAATCTAAATCTAAAACACTGTAAAATCTTAAATAACCAGTATGTTCTATATTGATTTCATATTTTACTGTCAAATGAGAGTTCTTCATATGTTTTGAAATAAAGATTCTTTGGGAAAATATCTAATATCAATTAACTATTTCTGCGCAAAGAGGAATAACACCTACTTTAAAATTAATCCATTCAATAAATTGATCAACGAATTCTATGTTTATATAAAATCAATGGTACTCTCAAAAAGTTTACAAGTGATATATAATGATGATTTGCATTTGGTTTTGATAGTGATTTGTCATGGTCAAAAGTTGCACTTTCCTCTTTAGCATTTTACTAATACTTTTAAGTGAAATGTTAATTTCTCGTGATCTCAAACTAACTAACCTGTGCATTTACATATTGTAGCAATTACCTAATTAATACAAACGTGTTAAATTTTATATTATAGTTATATTTAATATAATTCTAAGTAGTGTTAGCTTTCAGAGCAATTAATTAGAGAATTCCGTGAGCAATGTAAACATTTCTTTATACACAAAGAAATAAATAACTACCCTGTTTTCAGCTTAGAATATTTTAAAGCTCTAGTTGTGTTCATTTATTTTTTCGTAGGTTATTTATTTTCTCTCTGAGCTGGTCGTGAAACATACCACGAATTTTATGCAATCACATGGCAACAATATCACCATGGGCCAGTAAATCCACTTTGCATATATTTCAGGAAAAATATTCTTTTGTGAAAGTAAAACATAAGTTAACTTAATACTTAACACAGCAATAACTAAAATAAACTATTGAAGAAAGAACGGCACATTACAGGGTGTCCCAAAGAAAAACTGAACAACTTTGTCGCAATGTAAATATTCTAAAAATAGGCTTACAAAAATTTGATTAATGTAAAGTAACACACATATTCTTAAGTTTTTCTGGGCATAAATTTAATTTTAAAAAATCAACAAGGCTTCCAATGTTGGCAAATAGACAGTTAATACGGTTTTATAACTCTGACCACACTCCATGTGGCATTTCATCATTGATGATGCGGAAGGCTGTATTGATTTTAAATATCAATTCTATAACATTGGAGACTTTCGGACTTGTAAGCTTGGTCTTCAACGGAAAATATTGCGTTAGATTTTGTTTCAATGTGATATTCAACACACTGAACTTTCTCTTGCACGTTCATGATGTCTGCCTTCCTGTAGGTTATGTTTTTAAGTTTAAAGCTTTGAGCGAAAACAATGGATCAGCTGAAACATGATAATCAATTTGAAAAAAAACTTTATGAGTTCCTTAATCATAGGGTGGTTTCAAAAATGATCAATGGATGCCCACATAGATTGTATTAAAGTTCAAAGCTCTTCAGTTTTTTGGGACAGTCTTTTAATAAAAATTCATGTTTCTGGCTATTATATAAAATCGTTGGGCTATTTGACAGAGGTATATAAGCCTATTATTCTCTTAACATTATTTTAAACTGTTGGTCAAGAATACCATTACTATATTACAGTCATCCACATAAATTACTATCTTACGTGTTAATACAAAAAATGGACCAATTTTTACTCTGAAGACAAGGTAGTTAAAACATTGGTTAAGGTGTTTAAGCTTAAACTTGTTTAGCCTTACAGTTGTAGTAAAGTTGATTAATGTGATATTTATTTACATAGACATAAAATGTGAATCTTGTGCCAAATATGTAAATATTAGTCGATTTGTAAAAAGTATGAGTGAGTCTCCTACTGAGTATTTAGCTCCTGACATTGCAGTTGCTTGCAATTTGCCACGTCATGATCCCATTTGTTTATGTTGTAAATATTATAGGTTTTAGTTTTTTGTTTTGGAAATTCCTATAAAATATGTATCCAACTGCTATACTAGATATTTAAAAACGTCTTATTCTAAGTTTAATATTTGTATCATGAAAATTTCTCCGGCAGTCACTTTTTGTATTCATTTGCATATTCATTGAAAAAATTAAGTACTTACATAGTACAAAATAGTAAATGTTTATTCTAAAAACTAAGGTCGGTAAGGGATATGACGCTTTGTAAATAAACATATAAAATAGAAACTTGACCCTAAGTAATCAGTATTTGTTAAAATATGTAAGAAAATCTAATCTAATCAAAGTGAAGAAATGATTACCATAGGCCTACTGTAAGCCTTTTTTACGGGGTATTGATTAATAAATTTAACAATAAATCGTATTAGTGAATATTCATAAAATCAAGCATTGTAAATGATTATTCGTTTTTAACAAAACTTGGTTAAACTAAGACAAAAGACTTGTCTTTTGTAAAACTTGTTTTTTTTATGTATCCAAATTGTTTATATAAATTTGTTTTTTGTTTATCTATTACGGTAACGAGGCAAGGGACCTAACAAGACTGAGCATGTTTTCAATTCCATGCTAAATGACATTCAATATACGTTATATTACCCAGCTTTCTACCTACTTATGATGTAAATACTCTGTATAAGTTACCAATTACGCAATACATAATTTGTGTTAAGTTTGGTTTTTTAGAGAGGGAGAAAGATTTTAACTATATGTGGTTGTGAGTAAGATATTACCAAATAAATTTCTATCTCTAACGATACGAATTTTATTTTACACCTTTAACTTTTAGCCATTAAAGTGTATTCATTAGTACGACTCAGCGATCCATTTTATCTGACAAACATCTCTATGCAGATATTCAATAAACACTTTAAATGAATAGTCAGTTTCAATCAAACTGACTTTGTTAATCCTAAAATAAGATTAAACCTTTAAACCCACAAGAGAGATGGATGGAAATTTCCTTTTTATTTTGAATAGGATTCCAAGAAGTGAGTTTTCACTGTATTTTTCTTTTTTTCCAATTTAACTAAATGTAATAAATTTAAACCGTATGGTAAATGTCTAGAGATCTCAATACCACCAGACTGTCCAATTGCGGATTATAGCAAATGATGCATAATTACTTGTAGAACCTATTATTGTTATTGAAACAATACAGTTTCTTGTTCCAATGACGATAATAGGTTTAAACATATTAAAAACACTAAACATTTTGACGATTGGATTATCTGTTATTATCACTTTTTTGTGAAAACAAAACATTCAGGATAAAGCATAATGTATAGCAACAAGAAAACCTGAAAATGTACTAAAAGTCTTATTTGAAAGTATATTACTGGAGTTAAAAAAAAAAAAACATTTATCTATAATGTAAATTGTTCATGCCCCAGATGGTTTTTAACTTGTTCTGTTGGTTTTAGCATCTAAAGATGTTTAAACGTCGTAAAAAATATTATTTATTAAATCTTTAAAACTCTTACCATTTAAATTTTGAATAGGGGTTTATTTTGATCAGGACAAAGTTACAAGAAATATTATTTGACCTCTAAAAAATTCATAATATTTATTTTAGTGGTGTCTAGAAAAGGAGCTTGAAATATGCGATACATTTCTTTAAGTGTTCTCTTTGAGTTAACGACAAAGAGAGGCAAAACTTTCTTTTAAACAGCTAATTGAGACAAATTGTCTTGTTAAAATATAGACTGTCAAACAAAAAATATACTCGAACGAATATAATGGTCTAATCAGCTCTTAATTTACTTTCAATTATCTAAATGATGAGATTTTATACAAGATAATAAAAACATTTTATATCAGGACTAAAAATTGTGATTAAACAGGGATATTAATTAGAGTATAGTTAATAAGAGTTGATCCAGACTTACAACACTCCAACAAAAATGTGCATGGGATACTTACCCACGTACTTAAAAGTAAAATCAATTTTGAAAATGTAATATTATTATTTGTAATGTCTCTTCATTCACGATAATTGCGGACAATCTAGTGTTTTTTATGAATATCCATTAAATACTTTGTAAGTATAACAAGATAAAAAATTTAGAATTAACTATAGGCTAATAAAATTCAGTTTATTTACAATGATTAAGTGACTAAATACAACTACAAATTTACATAGAAATTATATTCATAAATGTCAAATTTCTTATTCAAAGCTTAACCTTAATGTTTTAATATAGGTCTACAAGCTCAAATAAAATAAATTAAAATCAGATTTAATTCCACAAAATAACAATTTTTCTAAAAATAAAATATACAGATCAAGAAGCATTAGGCCTACATAAATTGTTTATGAAAAATTAATGTAAAGTTAAATTTAAAAGGTTAACTTTAAAAAGTATTTGCTTCGGATGTATCCATATGCACAGCAATAGACTTGTTTTGTTGTCACCTCTACTTATTTATTATTATTTTTACTGATTCCTCTAAATATTTCTTCACATAACCTTTGAGTTGCAGTTTTGTTGACTATTAGTGTGCATATTGTATATATTTTCTCAATTTTGTATAGTGTGGTGAAAAATAGCATTCATACCACGGGCCGAAAAGGTTTTGCAGCTCTCGATCGTTTTAAATTTCCAAGCGTCCCTCAGTACAATTCAACTGTTTTACAGAGTATAATAATATATATATTGTATTATTTCTAATAATTCTCATAAAGTGCTTCCCTTATAAATTCGCAACATATAATTATTGACAGAATACCTAATAATTTTCTTATCTCTTTTCTGCGATAATAAATAATTTAGTTAAAGGCGAATCAAATCTACGTGCAAAGATACGCACACACATAAGGACCTTTTAAAGGAACTTCTGTAACGAATCACTTTCCAGAACATTATACTTTGCACTGATAAACTCAAGATTGCAACACGCCTTGTCATGCTGGGGAGGAGCTTACAAAAGCTTATTGAATAGATTAAGAGCAACACAAAACCTTTTTACGCAATAATTTTAAAACAACTTAAAGAAGCAATTCGTTTCCGCTCTACCGACAGTTGAAGATTTTGCCTATACAAGACCTTTTAGTTTTCAAAGTTCTTAGACTTTTATTGTTCTAAGTGGAAATAGAGCAACGTTTTGCCAAATATTACACATACATACATTGCGAGAAGTTTTGCCAATAATACACTAAAACTACTCAAAGTAAATAAAGCACTCAAAGCAAAGTAAAGTTTTGTCACTCTTTCTAACACTTAGTCCCTAAATACTAAAATTATTTACCACTTAATATGAATTGGTTTGAGTTTAAGGCAATTTAGTAGAACGACAATAATTTGGCTTTCTTCCTAGCAGTAAATAGTTTGTATTAATACTATTTTGATTTTAATATTGTTCCCAAATACAAAATGTTAGAAAATCGCCATTGGGTGTACTACAGTTCAGGTGAAATATTATGTTTTATACAAAATGCTAGACTAAAATTACAATATCACGTTACAGTAGCTTGTAATATAAAAAACATTTTTACTCTTCTATATTTAAAGTAGCCAGTTATACATTCTCTACATACTCATGTATTGTTTCATTGGATTTATAGTAGGAAATAAACATCATTATTCATTATTCATTTATCTGTTGATAGTAAATAGATCAGTATTAGGGTTAATTAATTATTTCACATGTTAAACATGAAAAATAGTGAGAAACCCATGACGCAAATAAAATATTAATGGGTTTAGAAGACGTGAATGAAGCTCAGACGCCTACACGTGGCTTAAACCATTCCATTTAAATATCAAAAGAGTTATTCATGCAGGCTTTATAGCCTCAAGGTGGCCGTTTCCTGGGGATATCAACTTTAGAAACACAAATTTCACAAATATATGTCAACTCTGAACTCTTTATGTAGAATATATTGTTTTAATCCATCGTATTTTACAATATTACTTACTATGTAACATTTTCATAAAAAAATTAAAAGCTTAAGTAAAATTACTTTTATTGATAGTGAATATCTTAGTAAAGTTAAACTGGACAAGACAATGATCTTTTTACAACATCTTCTAAGCTAATACAACATAGAGTACAACATGGGTCTAGTAATTACTCTACTGCTTTAATTGTTCCTGTTAGCCCGTTGGTTACTGTCAGCGAGCACAGAATATAAATATATATTTCTATTCTGTGCTCTATGGTTACTGTATTAAAATGTCAAACACGTATGCCTACTTACTTCGCCGTCTAAATCACAGGTGATATTTAGCCGCACCAACAAATCCTCTCCAATTCGACCTGTCCTCTGTGTCCTGCTCTGCGGCTCCAACTCTCTGCATGACCAACTTAACCTGGTCCTACCATATCTGTTTTCGTCTCCCACGAGGCCACCTTCCTTCAGGGTCATTTCTACTGATTATCTTCAGTTGAGACATTTCCTCCCTTCTCATCACAAACGATTTACACTTTATCCCATTCACGATGGCTGCACTGTTTCTCTAATTTCCCTATTGTAATTCCCCCTCCACTCTCCTTGATCATACGTGGGCCCGTACATATTTCTCAAGACTTTGTTTTTAAAGACAATTAGCTTTTTTCTTAATTCTTATTTAATAAAAATGTTTCCCATCCATAAAGTTAACCTGTAATAACTATTGATTTATACAAACTAATGTTCGTTTGTGTGACAGTGTTTTGGGTGAGAATAATCTGTCTCATGTGTATATAAATCTTTTTGTTTAGTATTTATTCTGTGTTGAATCTCAATTTCTTCTGAAACTTATCGGATATTGTGACTCCGAGGTATTTGAATTCTCGTACTTGTTCAAATGCATGGCCATTGACTAGTAGAGGGTCTTGTGTGTAATTATGGTCTCTTATCAAGTGCATACATTTCGCCTTTGAATCGTTTGCCAAAAAAGTAGTAGCCTACTAAAAATATGTTAAATGCTAAACCATGTGCTCGTTGGGCTAAACCATAAAAATATAATTTTTAATTATGTTTTCTTCATGAATTTGTTTAATTTGTTGTTACGCTTTTCCAAGAGCTTAGATACAAAGTATTTTTACCTCAAAAGTGTTGTTCCTAAAACATTTCATTAATTGTTATGGAAAAATGTAGCGCTTGGAACGGAAAGTAATATAAAAATAGTATACAACTCAGTCTGATTTAAACAGTATTAAAAACATTTATACTATGTTAAAGTTAAACAATCTCGATCAAACTTTTACTCTGATGAGTACAACTTGTTAGGGTAATTGGCGTTACGGTTAGTGGCTTTGGTTATGATTACATTATAACAAACACATTAATTTCATCAATATTTGTTAAAAATTATTTGTTAGCCAAAATTTACTCAAAGATTAACAAGGGTGATTATTATGAGAAAATTATTTTTTCTTTATATATTGCATTAAAATACTTCAACCGATGTTGGTTTATCTAATTGAAAAAGGTAGTAGAAACTTAGATTACATTTTAAACGAGGTCAGATTTCAATTACAGTTGTGTTTGCATTCAGCCTCTCTGGTGATTTCAGTTCCTAGTCGGTGCTTTAAGTGGAATTGGTTAAGAGCCAGTAAATACTCGGTTCTTATCCTATTGCGTTGAGGAAAATGTACCTTAGGCAGAATTTGTTTTCTAAATTTAAAATGCAATATACAGGGTGAATAAAAAGGTCAAGACCCCCCCCCTCTAATATTTTTCCAAGTACATATACAGAGATATCCTTTTGGTGATCTTGCAATCTTAGCATGAAGTTTCATTTTATGATTTTGAAAT